CACTGAAACAGTTTACCAAGTCCAGTCGATAACTGGAGTACCACTATGCCGTAGACATGTCCACTCTCGCGTGGGACCCATCACTCTTCATCTGGGCCTACTTCACACGTAGGACATTCATCTTCTGGTTCTGGAGGGGTCTACTGCGGACATCATCTTAGGGCGCCCGTGGTTGGTAAAGCACAATCCCATTCTGTCCTGGAAGACGGGAGAAGTTTTGAAGTGGGGCAAGGATTGCTTCCCAGTCTGCTTCCCCGTGACTCCATCACCAGCCAAGAAACTCACGGAGGTCCTTCCTGTGAATTCTATTAGGAGCTCCTTAATACTATTAAGGAGCTCCAATGATTCCTCGGATTTGCCAACTTTTACCGTCGCTTCAACCTAAACTATAGCAAGATCACCAGCCCCCTCACCAACTTACTCCGAGGCTTGAGGCCCTGTATAGATTACCGAGCATTAAACAATATCACCGTCAAATTCCGATATCCTCTTCCCCTCGTCCCTAATGCCCTGGAACATCTCAGAGGTGCGACCATCTTCACCAAGTTGGACCTCCGCAGTGCCTATAACCTCATCCGGATACGTGAGGGGGATGAATGGAAGACTGCCTTTGTGACCCCTACTGGCCACTACGAGTATCTGGTCATGCCCTATGGACTTGCTAACGCCCCCTCCGTATTCCAGGATTTTATGCATGAGGTGCTCCGGGAGTTTCTTCATCGATTCGTCATTGTCTACATAGATGACATCCTCATCTACTCCCGGAGCCAGGCCGAACATCGCCAGCACATTGCGGAGGTCCTCCAACGCCTGAGAGAGCACCACCTATTCCTCAAGACTGAAAGGGCACCTTCCACCAACCCACGGTGCAGTTCCTGGGGTATAACATTGATCGTACCGGTATCCAGATGGATGAGGGGAAGGTGGAAGCTGTAACCTCCTGGCCAGAACCCATTACTATTAAGGAGCTCCAATAATTCCTCGGATTTGCCAACTTTTACCGTCGCTTCATCCTAAACTATAGCAAGATCACCAGCCCCCTTCACCGTACTGACCGACCATAAAAACCTCCAATATCTCCACGAGGCTAAACGGCTAAATCCCCGCCAAGCACGATGGGCATTATTCTTTACCAGGTTAAATTTTACCATTACTTATCGCCCTGGTCCCCGAAACTTCAAGGCAGATGCCTCGTCTCGTATTCACAGTCATGCGGAAGGCCCAGAAGAACCGGAAGGTATCATTCCACCTAAGATGATCGTCAGTCCCATTGAATGGAATTCCCCTTCAGTGGCCTCCAACACGGCTCCCAACAATCCGCCGGGCTGTCCTCCAGGATGCCAGCATGTACCACGGACACAACGTACCCCACTGATTCACTCTGCTCACTCCTCCTGAGGCACTGGCAATCCAGGGGCCAACAACACCCTCTCGCTGCTATGAGATCGCTTCTGGTGGCCCAATATGGCAAGGGATGTGAGAAGGTTCGTGCAAGGATGTCCAGACTGTGCCTTGTCCAAGAGCCCGCGCCATTTACCATCTGGCAAACTCCTTCCTCTACCGGCACCTCGGGGCAGAGGTAGACCACCACAACGTCTGGGTTTTCGGCCCTCAGGAGCGGGCCGTGGAGGGGGGGGGGGGGGGCT